TACTGACTTTGAGCCAAATACTTGTTTTTGGGCTGTATAAATAAATAGACTTGAAACAGTTGCTAATTTAGAGTACTAGCACCTTTTTTAGTAGTAGTAGTAGTAGTAGCATTAATAGTAGTAGTAGTAGTAATAGTAACAGCAGTAGTAGTATTAGTGGTAGTAGTAGTAGCAGTAGTAGTAGCAGTAGTATAGAAGTATATGGCAAGCCATTTGAGTATTTATTCCATATCCTTGATATCAGACGGCAGCTGCCTACACTAGTTGGCTCTTTGATTTCACTTCTTAGATATATGGTCAAACAGTTTGGCACTCTGCTTTACTAGTTAAATAAAACATTATACTAGTAGCTCTTTTTCAGCAACTAGTGCCACTTTTGTCCGACTAGTTAGCACATAAGCCTTACTAGTTACGCCAGGAGCAGCACTTGTAGCACCAAAGTCCCAACTTGTAAGTATGGCAAGCCATTTCAGTATTTATTCCATATCCTTGATATCAGACGGCAGCTGCCTACATACAATTATACTAGTGCATCTAGTGGACAATTTGGACCTCACTAGTTAACTAGTACACATTTTGAGCCTCACTAGTCAGCTTGTAAGACCAAAAGAGGCTTCAACTAGTTAACTAGTGAACATTTTTGAACATAACGTGTAAGCTGCAATATGCATCCACAAGTTAACTAGTCGCAGTTCATATGGCCAACACGTTAACTACTCAGCCATATGCAAATGAAGCAGGCGGGACCCAGATTCTGATTGGTCAGTTCAGCTCTGTGAGGGAGAGCCTTAGGGGGCGTTCTCCTGCAATGTTTTTAGCAACGTCTCGAAGACGTGTGGTGCATCAGTCGGGTATTTAGTGCCTACTGTTAAAGGTCCCATGTCATGGCCATTTCTACTGATCATATTTCCATTGTTGAGGTCTACTAGAATAGATTTTTTTTAAATCACATTGGTTTCTCATACAGCATCTCTGTATAGTATGTGTATTCACCAGGTATTCACTCTCTGTCCTAAACGGCTTGTTGGAGCTCCTGCCCCCCACTCCCTGTGAGCCCAGTGTGCTCTGATTGGTCGGGACGTTGCGAGGCTTGTTGCTGCTCGCCGCTGCGACGAGGAGCGGACGGGTTTCCGGGACGGCGATACAGCGAGAACAAGCAAAACTCATCCTGAGCACACACAAACACTCACAGCCGAAGTGAAAACAATAAGTGTGGCTTGATATTGAGTAAGAAAAAGGTTTATAACCAGGGCTGCACATAACTGGTGCGCATGCGCACCTCGGCCAAAAAAAGAGCCCCGGGTCATTTGAAAAAAAACGCATTTGCGTACCAACATTGAGAGAGAGGGAGAGAGAAGGGAGAAGAGAGGCGAGAGAAGAGAGAGAGAGAAAGATATTTGCGAGTTCCATATGAACTCAGGGCCGGCCCGTCGCACTGGCGTTGATTTTCGCCTAGGGCGCCAGATCTGTGGAGGCGCTGCGCTGGTAGTTCTGGGAGGGAAAAAAACATTTTTGACTGTTGGTGCTCATCCTAATTTTCGGCCTTGATGTAACAACATTCATAATTAAGTAAATGTACTAACACCCTTTTCACCCCGGTTACACGTTTCATTTGCCCTGTACGATGGGCGCTGTAAGTGATGAAAATGGGGGATGTTGGCTTGTCTGGCGCCCGCAGCTCACAGCCAAAATGCGAGTGAGCGAGGGAGAGAGGGAGGGTGCACCGGTACCAGCGCTGTTGTTATTAGAATCTGGTGCTAGCTGCGGATATAAGAAGAAGATGTTTCTTTCTACAATGATGTGGAGGGAGAGTCCTCTCCAGTCAGGCCGAGAGACTGATAACTACAGCTCAGTGAGGTAAGGACTCTTGAGTGTTTAGATAGTTCACTTTAGTCTAAGTTCAAACGGTTTGGTCACAATTTATGTAAACACATATTTCCAAGGCACTCCTTTATAATTATTGGGATACACAGGTTTGAAATCATTCCAATGTATACTATAGGACAGTAACCAAAAATATCCTTTTAAAACTGGACTTTCAACCCAAAACCAGCTGTTGACTTGTGGATGCAAGCAGCTAATCGCAGACTCAACCAGAGAGAAAATAGTAGGCCTACATCATCAGCTACCATGTCTGACAGAGAGGAAGACAGTGAGGAGAACAGTCAGGAGGGTAGTGATGACAGCTTGTAGGATTACTGGTCGTGCTGATGTTGTCTTGTGTTCGCCTCTGCATGTGTGTTCTGTGTTCACCTCTGCATGTGTGTTCTGTGTTCACCTCTGTGTGTTCTGTGCCGTGTGTCTGACAAATAAAGACCGGTTTATTTATTTCATTTTAAGGATGAGCACCAAGCAACATCTCCAGGTGCTCCTTTGAGAACCAGGGCAAAAAAGTTATGTGCACCCCTGTTTATAACGCTGTGAGAATGGATCTGCGGAGAGCATTTCTCCGCGATCCCAACTCGTCTATTACGAGCGTTCAGGGAGCTCTATGTAAGTCAATTTGGGCCAATCCGGTCATTTGTTGTTGATTTGGGTGTTCACACGTCACAGAACCCAGGAAGCAAACAATGGAAAAAGAGAAATCTCCAACGAGGCGTTCTGTGGCAGCATAGACGGGTCTTTTCTGTGTTAGAGTTTTACTCGCTACAGGGTGTACTTTGAGGGTTTTTGACTCTGCAGACCGTTTACATGCATAAAAACCTTCATAAGTAACACACAAGGGGACGGGTAATAACCGGAAAAGCATGACATGGGACCTTTCAAATATTGTCCGTGGGAAGTCAGTCAGTCAGTGTGTGTTTTGCCTAGAAAAATACATGTTTCTGTTTCTGCTTTGTTCCGCTTTGTGTGTGTGTGTGTGTGTGTTTTTGTTGGTGCGAGTGCGCGTATGCTTGTGTGTGAGAACACCGGCACTCGAGACACAAAAGTAGAGGAAGTGATCGTGGGACATTTTATAAGCGGTGCTCATGAAATTAATAAAGCAGAAACACTGGACAGATATTAAAATCAGGATAACAATAGATCCGTATGATAAACAACCTCTCCATATATTGCCTTAGACTTAGATTTTGCCTTAGCCCCCTTGCCAGCGATTCTCTCACTAGCCTACAACTACAACAAAATGAACATATTTTACCGTGATTTAATTGTAATACACGTTTGAAAATGATGCCGAAGTAACAACATACATGAATTAATGCTTTGACAAGTCTGCAGACAGACAGCAGGCGAAAAACCTTTTAAAATTCGTGTTTTCTGAATAGAGATCGGCTAAGCTAACGCAGTATATGCTCCGACCGTCCACACTCACAACAACGGCCTACAGACATAAATAAAGCAGCGACTGTATTCGCTATGACACAGACAGTCTGTGGTTTGTACTTATTTAACTTTTGTCTAGTTTCTGAACAGATATGAAGAGCTGTGAGCTCTGAGTGCTAACAGCTAAAGGCTGATGTTGGTTTTCTGTGGTTCACATTGAAGATGACGTCACGGCTCCGCCTACACTGCGTTACTATAGTTACTGCCCCTGGCCTACCAAGGCCTAACTATACCTTACTAAGCCATGCGAGGCCCTGCAGTGGGAATGCGCCATAACTCCAGGGACTTTTATTTTATTTGTAATCTGTGTCTGTCCATTTGGTGTAGTATTTTATCCAATATTACATTTGGTTTATATATTAGTCACTTTCTTATGAAAAGGTTATGGTATAATTACAGAGCCTGTCAATTTATAAATTGAGGAAATCAATGTTAGTCTGTTAACCAAAGTGCAGCCATCTAATAATGTACTATCTGTTATTAAAGATCAGATTAAAAGAACAGAATGAGAGGGGTAAATCCGGAATACAAATAAAGAAGCAAAGAGATTGTAGAGCAGTGAGAAGGGAAAAAGCTTGGTGTGTCAATTCATTACATTGCCAGTATTTTGTTGTTTTGAAAAAATAGAATCGCCCCCTCTGATTTTTTAACAGCCCCCTCAGTAATTTCATCCTGGAGCCGGGCCTGCCCATGTCTCGATGTCTCGCAGACCCCACGCAGCAACCAGGAAACGACACCAGTAATCCAGCTCACACTGTCCGCTCCTCGAGCCTCAAAGGGCGGAGCAGCGAGCCCCGCAATGTCCTGCCAACACGGCACCCAGACCCCACGCAGCATTCAGAGAGTGAATACACATACTATACAGAGATGCTGTATGATAAACCAATGCGATTTTGGAACATTGAACAATGTAAATCTATTCTAGTAGACCTCAACAATGGAATTATGATCAGTAGAAATGGCCATGTCATGGGACCTTTAAATCCTTTTTATCACGATAACACAATAGTATAATAAATACTAAAAATACTTTTAAATCAATACAATATTCATTTATTTAGAAAACCGTTATCAAATCAATAATATTTTTTTATACAATATATTTTATCAGTAAAATTACTTTCTAATGATTAAAATATAAATGTAATAAAGCATTTTTTAACTTCTTTAATACATTCCATTAAAACCCTTGAAACGAAGAGGAATATTTGTTTAATCAATTAAATACATTTTGATCAATTAATAATGTTTACATCAATGACAATAATCAATAAATAATCAGTGAATAAACAAAAGTATAAATAAAATATGTTTGAATTCAATCATTTCCCTAAATCAACACGATAATACACAATTTATTATTTACTTTTTAAATCATTCACATCATTTATAAAATAAATACAATACTTATATGTTAAAAAATCAATACATTTTTTTATAAAATGTGTAAATCTGACAAATATTTTTTTAATCAATAACGTAGATTTTAATTTGAAAATATTGTTAAATCAATCAAATTAGTTTTAAATTGAATTATTTACTTTTTCAGATCAACATTTGAACATATTACATTTGTTTTATTAATGAATGAACTCATCGATGTCGGGTTCAGGAGCCATTTTGCTGACTCATGTTAACTGAGAGGAGACGCCATCTTTATCTTTGTCTGATATTAGTATTAGGATGCAGCACGAGAGACCTGAACCTGGACCTGAACCTGGACCTGAACCTGGACCTGAACCTGAAGATGGACCTGGATCCAGCTGTGCGTCCATAAAGAGTGACTGGTCTATGGATAATCCTTTTAACTTTAAATCTGGACGTCCTGCAGAGGGAAGGTGAGAATGTGTAACGTGATCAGCTTCTTTCTGTTCCTTGCACCATCAGCTGCTGGGAGGCTTCTGATGGTCGGACGCTTTCAGGCCTCAGTAATGTTGGTGTTTTTATAACCCCCCCCCCCCTACCTGCTGATCCACAGTTACCCTGTTATTCTGTCTTCATCTCAGAACACCTTCAGTAAACTGTGTGCAGATTAGAGTCTTTAAATGTTCTTGATGTTTTCTCCACAGAGTTCTGCCGGAGTTCTTAGAGGTTCCCAGTGATCAGTCTCCCCCGAAGCATCACACAGACCTGGACTCCATATTTATGGTGTGTACAAATATACATTTACTATGAACTACAGATGAGCTACCATTCAGTTCCTAACAGTGTCCATGCTGCTCTGTTTAGACCAGCAGGCCTTCAGACGGACAGATGAACCACATGTTGTCTTCTTTAAATTAACTGTTGTTGCGTCGGTGGACCTGTGTTAATCTCTGACTATTAATCAGACCTACTGATTGACCTATCAGAAGCTATTGAGTCTATGCAAGTGTACCACCAGGCTCAGATTCACCTCTGAAAGGTTTTACCTCTACTAACTTCTGGAGAACCAGGTTCAATTAAATGCTGATTTAAGGCAGACGACTAAATCTGTTTAAGAGATCCCAGAGGATTCTGTAGTGAGGTGTGGCCCTACCTAAGTGTGAGTGTGGCAGTGGTGCAATCCAAGAGGGTAGGATGATTATAGAAAAAAGAGGATATCAAGATTTGTATCCGGTGTTATTTTTTCAATAATGTCCGACTTGCTGCACATTATCCCTAACATAATAACTTTAGCTTTAACGATATTCATCTGATCAATGTTCATCAATCTGTTCCAGCTGCTGGAGGAGAACATCGTCACTTTTGTGAAGAACGAGCTGAAGAAGATACAGAAGGCTCTGAGTTCAGATTACCCAGAAGGCTTAGAGAGTCAGAGGGAGGATGAGGAGGTGTTGGACGATGAGGATGAAGAGCAGAGGAGGAGCAGAGAGGCATTTCTGAACATCACACTGCACTTCCTGAGGAGCATGAAGCAGGAGGAGCTGGCTTACCGTCTGCAGAGCAGTAAGAGGGTTTAACACATTTAACATGATGGAGAGGAGATGGAGGAACATGGAGAAGTTTACATGTACACGTCTGCATCAGTGTGTCCTCTGAGGAGCTGATTCAAACTATACAGCCACACTTAAATGTTCAGATTCTCAGTGTTTCTGCAGGATCCACTCACTGATTCCACTTGTTGTTTGTTCATTCAGGAACTCCTGCTGCAGTGTGCAGTAAACTCAAATCCACCCTAAAGGAGAAGTTCCAGTGTGTGTTTGAGGGCATTGCTAAAGCAGGAAACCCAACCCTCCTGAACCAGATCTACACAGAGCTCTACATCACAGAGGGGGGGTCTGCAGAGGTCAACAAGGAACATGAGGTCAGACAGATTGAAAAAGCATCCAGGAAACCAAACAGACCAGAAACAACCATCAGACAAGAAGACCTCTTTAAAGCCTCACCTGGAAGAGATGCACCAATCAGAGTGATGACAAAGGGAGTGGCTGGCATTGGGAAAACATTCTTAACACAGAAGTTCACTCTGGACTGGGCTGAAGGCAAAGCCAACCAGGACTTCCAGTTCATATTTCCATTCACCTTCAGAGAGCTGAACGTGGTGAGAGAGAACAAGTACAGCTTGGTGGAACTTGTTCATCACTTCTTCACTGAAACCAGAGACGCAGGAATCTGCAGCTTTGATCAGTTCCCGGTTGTGTTCATCTTTGACGGTCTGGATGAGTGTCGACCTCCTCTGGACTTCCACAACACTGAGATCCTGACTGATGTCACAGAGTCCACCTCAGTGGATGTGCTGCTGACAAACCTCATCAGGGGAAAGCTGCTTCCCTCTGCTCGCCTCTGGATAACCACACGACCTGCAGCAGCCAATCAGATCCCTCCTGAGTGTGTGGACATGGTGACAGAGGTCAGAGGGTTCACTGACCCACAGAAGGAGGATTACTTCAGGAAGAGATTCAGAGTTCAGAAGCAGGCCGGCACCATCATCTCCCACATCAAGAGATCACGAAGCCTCCACATCATGTGCCACATCCCAGTCTTCTGCTGGATCTCTGCTACAGTTCTGGAGGAGGTGTTGAAAACCGGAGAGGGAGGAGAGCTGCCCAAGACCCTGACTGAGATGTACATCCACTTCCTGGTGGTTCAGTCCAAAGTGAAGAACATCAAGTATGATGGAGGAGCTGAGACAGATTCACACTGGAGTCCAGAGAGCACGGAGATGATGGAGTCTCTGGGAAAACTGGCTTTTGAGCAGCTGCTGAAAGGCAACCTGATCTTCTATGAGTCCGACCTGACAGAGTGCGGCATCGATATCACAGCAGCCTCAGTGTACTCAGGAGTGTTCACACAGGTCTTTAGAGAGGAGAGAGGACTGTACCATGACAAGGTGTTCTGCTTCATCCATCTGAGTATTCAGGAGTTTCTGGCTGCTCTTCATGTCCATCTGACCTTCATCACCTCTGGAGTCAACCTGCTGTCAGAAGAACCAACAACCTCCCAGCAGTGTGAGGTCAAACCTAAACTAACATATTTCTACCAGAGTGCTGTGGACCAGGCCTTACAGAGTCCAAACGGACACCTGGACTTGTTCCTTCGCTTCCTCCTGGGTCTTTCTCTGCAGACCAATCAGAAACTCCTACTTGGTCTGCTGACACAGACAGAAAGTAGCGCAGAGATCAACCAGGATACAGTCCAGTACATCAAGAAGAACATTGAAGAGGATCTGTCTCCAGAGAGAAGCATCAACCTGTTCCACTGTCTGAATGAACTGAATGATTGTTTTCTAGTGGAGCAGATCCAACAGTACCTGAGTTCAGGACGTCTCTCTGAAGAAAAACTGTCTCCTGCTCAGTGGTCAGCTCTGGTCTTCATCTTACTGTCATCAGGAAAAGATCTGGAGGTGTTTGACCTGCAGAAATACTGTGCTTCAGAGGAGGCTCTTCTGGGGCTGCTGCCAGTGGTCAAAGCCTCCAACAAAGCTATGTAGGTGAACACACAACTATCCAGGTTAAATGTCTTCCTTAATTATTCTGAAAATGATAATTGATTTCTTCTGTATGACTGATTCCTCTCCAGACTGAGTGGCTGTAACCTGTCAGAGAGAAGCTGTGAAGCTCTGTCCTCGGTCCTCAGCTCCCAGTCCTCTAGTCTGAGAGAGCTGGACCTGAGTACCAACGACCTGCAGGATTCAGGAGTGAAGCTCCTGTCTGCTGGACTGGAGAGTCCACACTGTGAACTGCAGACTCTCAGGTTAGTGAAAAGCTGTTTAAAAATGTTGACCATCTGAACACCTGATTACTTCATATCGTAACTATTGGATGGACCTTTCATTTAATTATGTTAGTGTTTGTACAGAAGCTCTGTCCTCAGCTCCTGGGTTGCGGTCCAATAGTCCAAAAATCAGCTCCTAACGTCTAACCCTATCTCCTATTCCTTGACCTCTGAGTGAAACGTCACGGGGTTAAGGGATAGTGGATAGGAGAATTCAGAAGGACTTAGGAGAAGAGACCGCGGTACTTTAGAGAATCCGAATGCACTTTCACTATCCGACGTGTTTATGATGCGCCAGCGGACGTCCTGAATGTGCGTCTGCTGCTGTGGGGTAACTATGGAAACTACAGTTTTCTATACAGCGGACTACAACATGGATGTTTAATAAGAACGAGGGACTCATCTAGAGACTCTGCACCGTGCTCTGATGCTGTTGTTTTATGAACGTGGACAACAGAGAAACATATTCTTCAGGACCAAAGTTGGAATTGAAATAAAAAATGAAAGTGAAACTTATGCTCGTCACCCTCTCCCTCCGGTCCACATTAATACAAATGATCCCAATACGTATGATTGTATGAAAATATCTTAAAATCAATACAAATGTATTTATTATAAACGTTAGTCCTTAACACCTATCACTGTGTATATCACCATTCAAACATCTTTTAAAAGTTGAACAAACCCCACACAGCTCAGTAAAGACTGTGAAATGTTGACTTTATTTGATCATTTCAGTAAAAACTAACGTTCATATTTCTTTTTGATTATAATACTGATGAACGTTCAGAACAAAGCACTTTGGCAACTTACCACATACGTTTTAAAATGCTTAATAAGCACCGTAACCTTCATGATATCATTTCTCGGTCATAATCGGTTGTTTCTGTGAACGGCCGACTGTTGAGTGACGGCAAATGCTGCGGCAGCATTTTCTCCTCTCCTTTCGGTGAGGGAGGTCCAGTGGTTCCTAAGCTAAAGGAGGTTATAAAGGAAGTTTGAAACCTCCTTTCCTTTCATCTAGAGAATTCGAACGGCACTTATCATGGCTGCCACTGAGGGACTTCCGGGTCATTTCACTCGGTTAGGAAGGTTCCAGCTAAATGGACTATTGGACTGCGACCCCTGCTCTAGTCTGAGCTGGACCTGAGGAACAAGTCAAATGTTGACGCTTTATTATCATCCAGTATTAAACGTGGCAGCAATGTTATACTGAAGTTGTTTGCTAATGTAGTAACTTTGATCATATTAGTCTGTATGTAAACTTGTTTGTAGTCCAAAGAGAATAATACATAGGTTCGGGTTGTAATGTCGGTTCAACTAATTGTCCATTTAATCCCATTGGTTAAAATGGTGACTGTAAAAAGCATTTTTAGCTATTAGGCTATAGAAATGTTACTACAGACCTGAGGATCTGATGATACCACCACAGAGTTTGTCATCAACATTTGGTTGAAGGTTTTCAGCTACAAAAGACGAAGATGATCCACATTATCCTCGAATGTGTTTGTTAGAGAAATCAACAAAGTTCTTTTAGAAATCACCACTCAGGTAAAAAGTGGCCGGCTGTTCCTACCTTTCCCCCCTCCAGATATCTCTGTGTCTTCTTACATTAAACAATTATATAATCAGTGTGTGTGTGTGTGTGTGTGTGTGTGTGTGTGTGTGTGTGTGTGTGTGTGTGTGTGTGTTCAGTCTGGCAGGCTGTCTGGTCACAGAGGAAGGCTGTGTTTCTCTGGCTTCAGCTCTGAGCTCCAACCCCTCCCATATGAGAGAGCTGGACCTGAGCTACAATTATCCAGGAGACTCAGGAGAGCAGCTGCTGTCTGCTGGATGTGAGGATCCAGACTGGAGACTGGAGACACTCAGGTATGGACAGACAGACAGACACACAGACAGTGTCTCTGTCACTGACTGAGGGACTCTGCTTCCTGTTTAATGGTGGATATAAGTGAAGGTGTATGAAGTTGATCCTGACTGTGTTTATTCCTGCAGGATGGACCATGGTGGACTGCAGTGGTTGAAACCTGGCCTGAGGAAGTGTGAGTGTGTTTTCAGTTTGATTCCTCAGAGTTACAGGTTACACTGCACATGAGATCCAGAAACACAACAAAGTGAACACAGAACCAACAGATACACAATTCTTTACAGAAAGCTCACTTCTTTTTTCCACTGTTATAGGTATATTCTCATATATTTAGGGTTTCAAATGCATTCTTTTTTTTTTTGTATAATTAGATTTTTTTTAACAGGATGAGTGAGAGAACTACATTACATTCAACATTTTCATGACACCAAGAAATTAATTGGCAACAAAAATGTACTTAAAATAAATAGTACCAATTAATAAATGAATACTGCATCCCCACTCATTTTTTCAAAACAAACAAACACTGACCAGTTTTGTAATATCAGTTTCTTATAAATGAATGATGCATACATTGTTTGCCATCCAGTTGGGTAGTTTATTCTCTGGGTATTTTGGAAAAGGCAGACTATTGGTTTTTGACAGCCAATTTCGGATCTCATCCCAAGTTGTTTTTATTTTATAACATTTCCAAAAGGCATGCATGAGGGAGTCACTCTCAGTAAAACATTTTAGACATTTATCGGAGGAACTGCTATCAAATGTCTGTATTTTCTCCCTATAATACATTCTTGTCATTAGTTGATATTGAATTAATCGTAGATTTTCGTTTGTAGTCACTGTATATGTAAGTTGTAAGCATTCCTTCCATTTTAGTTTTTCGTCTTCCATGTCCAGGTCTTTGTTCCACTTAGTGTAAATATAGTAATCCCTATTGTCCTCAGCACTGATACAGATATGACATACCACACAGATTAATGTTCTCTTTTTAATGTTTGCTTTTAGAATTCCCCTTCAGTTGAAACTCTGTTTTTAACGTCCACATTTCCTGTGAACCAATTTTTAAACTTCAAATATTTAAAAGCATCGGTGTCTCTTAGTCCATATTAACTCTTTACTTCCTGAAATGAAAGTATTGAGCTTTCCTTTACAATATCTGATCATTGAACAATTCCTCAATGTATCCACGTCAGCCAGTGTGACTGGGACCTTTGAAGAGTTATTCATGGAGTATTCCAGAGTTATTTATGTTTAGGGAATTCTATTTCCTGACCTTGTATCTTTTTTATTTATTTCCACACAGACGATGAACTATTAATTACAAAATGTACAGTTTTTTTTCTTAGAAAGAAGAGTAACTGTAACTGATGGCTTTCAATCTCTACCCAAGGTTCTTCATTTGTGTTGTTTACTATTTAGTCAATATAAAACATACTTTCAAATGTATTCAGCTCCAGTTCCTAAAAAACAGTTTAGAAATGTTCTCAGTACGCTCACCCCACAGGCTCTGGTTACTGCATACAAAGAGTAACAAAGGAACTAAAGGGGAACAGCAGACAGTAGAACTCACAAAGCAGAGGCCCTGACACACCAGGCCGAAATCGGCCGTTTTCGTTAGTCGGACGACGAAGCGTGCCCTGTGGCCCAAACTCAATTTGGTGTGTCCCGCACCGTCGGCCGTGATACGCCTTATTTTACCTTTCATGGCCGACGCACGGCCGATTCAACATGCGTCAGCCACAGGCAGTCGGACAAAGAAATCACTCTGATTGGCTGTTCAGCTAGCGAATCGGTGCATGAGAAGCGAAACGGTTGCTTGAGAATGTCTTCCACAAGCAACACTCCAATGGCTCCAGTACCGCACGAAACATGTTTTCGATGGACGAGAGTGAAAATGGAACGCACACGCTATTTGTTGTTTGTTCTGTTCTTCTTCTCTGTCTTCCGGTTGTTGCCTCTTTTGAATGACGAATACACACTACCTCCGCCTGCTGGTAAGGAGAGTTATTGCCACTCACGCATGCGCACTTCGTACGTGCTCGGCTGAAGTCTTTGCGGTGTGTTCCAGTGTGACACATGGCCAACAAGAGAACACGCCGACGCAACAGTCGGCGTCGACATCGGCGAGTTCTCTGGTGACTGCTTGGTGTGTCAGGGCCCAGCTCACCAATGCAAGGCAAGTTTATTTATATAGCACCTTTCAACACAAGGCAATTCAAAGTGCTTTACAAAAAATGAAAGACATTAAGAAAAGGGCATTTAAAATCAGTCATTAAAAAGAAAAGATAAGAAAATAAACATTAAAAGAAAAAGTACATGGATAAAAGTTACAGTGCAGTTTAAGATGTGAATAGTTCAATTAAAAGCAGCGACAAAAAGAAAAGTCTTCAGCCTGGATTTAAAAGTAGTCAGAGTTGCAGCGGACCTGCAGGTTTCTGGGAGTTTGTTCCAGATATTTGGAGCATAATAACTGAACGCTGCTTCTCCATGTTTAGTTCTGACTCTGGGGACAGAAAGCTGACCAGTCCCTGAAGACCTGAGAGATCTGGATGGTTCATAATTTAGCAGGAGGTCAGAAATGTATTTTGGGCCTAAACCATTCAGTGCTTTTTAAACCAGCAGCAGTATTTTGAAATCTATTCTTTGACACACAGGAAGCCAGTGTAAAGACTTCAGAACAGGAGTGATGTGATCCACTTTCTTAGTGTCAGTGAGGACTCGAGCAGCAGCGTTCTGAATCAGCTGCAGCTTCCTAATAGATTTTTTAGTGAGACCTGTGAAGACACCATTACAGTAGTCCAGTCTACTGAAGATAAAAGCATGGACAAGTTTTTCCAAATCCTGCTGTGACATTAGTCTTTTAATCCTAGATATATTCTTTAGGTGATAGTAGGCTGATTTAGTAACTGTTTTAATGTGACTGTTGAAACTCAGGTCAGAGTCCATGACTACACCTAGATTTCTGGCTTTATCTGTTGTTTTGAACATTGCACACTGAAGCTCAGCGCTAACTTTTATACGTTCTGCCTTGGCTCCAAAAACCATTACCTCAGTTTTATCTTTGTTTAATTTGAGAAAGTTCTGACACATCCAGTCATTGATTTGTTCAATGCACTTACTCAGTGTTTGAATTGGAGCATAGTCTCCTGGTGAAATTGTTACTTAAATTTGTGTGTCATCCGCATAGCTATGGTAACTTATTTTGTTGTTTTTCATTATCTGAGCCAGTGGTAGGCACCAGGTGTCCACCTGTGCATTTAAAGAAGAAGAGTGAAAGTAACGTCTCTGAGTACCAGGAGAAGTGCTTTATAAATACCATGTATTTTATTATTACTCTAAATCAGTGCTTGAATTGGGCCGGTACTAACCGGTACGCAGTACCGGCACTTCTGATTTTTACCCATGTGGTACCGGCACTTCTTACTGAGTACCGGTAAGGTGCCGGTGCTCAGTAAAATGCCGGTACTCAGCCGCCGGCCGGCGGCGGCACGTCATGGCGCATGACAACAAATATGCCCAGCCGGCGGCCGGCAAATATGCAGCCGGCGGCATCTCATGATGCATCTATGACGCGCCGCAGCGATAGACTAGAGCAGAAAAAACATCACATCACGTTAGCATTTCAAAAATGTTAGCATGGCTTAATAATAGTGCGAAAAGACAGCGGTTGTCGCATTTCAGATGCACCCTGAGTCATTTTGTTTAAGTACAGTGAGCCTTTCTAAAATATACAGTAAAGAGACAAACCCACCAGCATTATAGGATATACTATGACTTTGAGCCAAATACTTGTTTTTGGGCTGTATACATACATTGACTTGAAACAGCTGCTGATTTAGAGTACTGGCACCTTTTTTATTCCAATTCAAACACTGCTCTAAATGATAACCAAGAAGCAGATTCAGGCAGTTGCTCTACCTGTTCCAAATATTGGACTACACATTACACTTTCTTTCAATCTCTAAAACACACTTTTTGAAAGCAGGGCTTATTTTCTCAGAACACTAAACACCATTCACACAAAGTGCAAAACCCCTGATATATCCTGCAGAATGAAGCCCTGCAGCAGAACTCCAGAAACACTCACCAGAAGCTAACTGCTGCCCCAAATGGCTCTCACTTCACTGACAGGACAAGACTCTGTGTCCAGCACCACACTGTGGAGCTTCATCTGAAGCACTCTCATCTGTTATGGTGATCTGTAGAGAATTCTGCATCTAAAGAGTGTTCAAGTCTACAGAAACGTGTAGAAACACAAATATACTGTTCTTACTTTTAGTTTCCTCCAAAAGAGAAAAGGTGCTACATTCATGCACAGCACATAGTTACAGATGTGTAAATCAAAATGACACTTCTGTCAAAAACAGGAAATGGAAAAAATAAATATTTTTAGAAAAAACAGAGGACAGAAAAATACTCAGGCACCTCCTCACTGGGTCTGACCTCAGCTCCTCACTGGGTCTGACCTCTGCTCCTCACTGGGTCTGACCTCAGCTCCTCACTGGGTCTGACCTCAGCTCCTCACTGGGTCTGACCTCTGCTCCTCACTGGGTCTGACCTCTGCTCCTCACTGGGTCTGACCTCTGCTCCTCACTGGGTCTGACCTCAGCTCCTCACTGGGTCTGACCTCAGCTCCTGACTGGGTCTGACCTCAGCTCCTCACTGGGTCTGACCTCAGCTCCTCACTGGGTCTGACCTCTGCTCCTCACTGGGTCTGACCTCAGCTCCTCACTGGGTCTGACCTCAGCTCCTCACTGGGTCTGACCTCAGCTCCTCACTGGGTCTGACCTCAGCTCCTCACTGGGTCTGACCTCAGCTCCTCACTGGGTCTGACCTCTGCTCCTCACTGGGTCTGACCTCAGCTCCTCACTGGGTCTGACCTCTGCTCCTCACTGGGTCTGACCTCTGCTCCTCACTGGGTCTGACCTCTGCTCCTCACTGGGTCTGACCTCTGCTCCTCACTGGGTCTGACCTCTGCTCCTCACTGGGTCTGACCTCTGCTCCTCACTGGGTCTGACCTCTGCTCCTCACTGGGTCTGACCTCTGCTCCTCACTGGGTCTGACCTCAGCTCCTCACTGGGTCTGACCTCAGCTCCTCACTGGGTCTGACCTCAGCTCCTCACTGGGTCTGACCTCAGCTCCTCACTGGGTCTGACCTCAGCTCCTCACTGGGTCTGACCTCAGCTCCTCACTGGGTCTGACCTCAGCTCCTTACTGGGTCTGACCTCTGCTCCTCACTGGGTCTGACCTCTGCTCCTTACTGGGTCTGACCTCTAGCTCCTACTGGGTCTGACCTCAGCTCCTCACTGGGTCTGACCTCAGCTCCTCACTGGGTCTGACCTCAGCTCCTCACTGGGTTCTGACCTCAGCTCCTCACTGGGTTCTGACCTCAGCTCCTCACTGGGTTCTGACCTCAGCTCCTCACTGGGTCTGACCTCATGCTCCTCACTGGGCCTGACCTCTGCTCCTCACTGGGTCTGACCTCATGCTCCTCACTGGGTCTGACCTCAGCTCCTCACTGGGTCTGACCTCATGCTCCTCACTGGGTCTGACCTCAGCTCCTCACTGGGTCTGACCTCAGCTCCTCACTGGGTCTGACCTCAGCTCCTCACTGGGTCTGACCTCAGCTCCTCACTGGGGTCTGACCTCAGCTCCTCACTGGGTCTGACCTCTGCTCCTCACTGGGTCTGACCTCAGCTCCTCACTGGGTCTGACCTCAGCTCCTCACTGGGTCTGACCTCTGCTCCTCACTGGGTCTGACCTCTGCTCCTCATACACAGAAGAAACATCGCCTATAGGCCTGATGGTCATACAGATACAGGCTAAATGCTGCAGATTACTCTCCATCTGACTTTGGTTCATCCTCTCTCTCTCTCTCTCTCTCTCTCTCTCTCTCTCTCTCTCTCATCCTCCCTCCCTTTCTCTCATCCTCCCTCCCTTTCTCTCATCCTCCCTCCCTTTCTCTCATCCTCTCTCTCCCTCTCTCTCTTATTTTACAATAATAAGTATTAGGTGTGAGATCATTGATGGATCACCTACTGATGAAGATCAGGTTGTTAGACATCATTCACTGTGAATATGAGACGTCAGTCTGAATGATTTCCTGTCGGTCAGTAAAGTAGTTAATAAATGAACAGATGATAACCTGCAGCTGTTCTCTCCATCAGATGCCTGTGAACTGGAGCTGGACACAAACACAGTACACAGGACACTCAAACTGTCTGACAACAACAGGACGGTGACACATGTGGAGGAGGAGCACTCATATCCTGATCATCCAGAGAGATTTGGCTACTGGCCTGAGCTGATGGGTAGAGAAGCTCTGACTGGTCGCTGTTACTGGGAGGTCAAGTGGAGCGGAAGGGTTGATATAGCAGTGACTTACAGAGGAATCAGCAGGAAAGGAGTCAGTGAGGACTGTGCGTTTGGAAGGAATGATCAGTCCTGGAGTCTGAGATGCTCTGATGATGGTCGTCACTATGTCTGGCACAATAACAGCATAACAACCATCACCTCCTCCTCCTCCTCCTCCTTCTCATCCTCATCCTCCTCATCCTCCTCCTCCCCCCCGTCCTCTGGAAGAGTAGCAGTGTATGTGGATTATCCTGCTGGCTCTCTCTCCTTCTACAGAATCTCCTCTGACACACTGATCCACATCCACACCTTCAGAACCACATTCACTGAACCTCTCTATGCTGGGTTTACGCTCCCTTCTGATGGTTGCTCAGTGGCTCTGGTTCCTCTGCAGGTCTGAGAGCAGCCGCGGCGTTATGGGTAGGGATGGGTACCAAGCCCCGGTATTAAACGGGCCCCGGAGCTGAATTATTAAAGACCGTGGTACCGTTAAGCTCCGACGTTATCTGTCTTTTTATCGGTAAGGGAGACATCTAATATATCTCATATGCAGGGGCGGATCTACGGGGGGCAAGGGGGGCAGCTGCCCCCCCCCCCCCCACTGTAGAGCTTTGCCCCCCAGCTGCCCCCCTAACTTTTGTTTCCCTAAAACTGTACTAAAACAAACCTACACTATTTCCACAAGCTTCTCAATCAACGAAACAAGCATTACATTAGTTAAAAGTGAATCATTTTAAATATCATTTTAGGCCCGTTAAAAACGCAGCTACGGCCCTGCATTAAACTGCGGAGCGGCGTTCACACAGACCGCGGCTCACAGAGCTGCAGAGAGGGAGCGAGCTGTCCCAGCACCTATGGATCAGCTTCCCCTGGGAGCATTTCCCCTTCCACTAGTTTTGTTTTTACTAAGGACGAGAGCTTGAAACTAAATATTAATAAAACGCTGCCGTTTGATTCGATAGCGTTTAACAGACGGACGCTGTTTGGGGCGTTACGTTACAAAATACTACGCAGACAGCGTTAGCTGGGAGATCGATCACTTTGCTAAACTACACGGTAGCCTACTGTTAAATCCACGTAAACTACACATCACAGCCATGAGGCCAGATCAATGAAACCAGGATACATCCTTTACCGTAAAAACTGGATCTAAACACAGCTGCCTGTGTGCAAAAGGTGGCCTTGCAGACAGGAATTTTTGTGGGATGATCTTCGGTCAGCAAATTATATTCATTAGTGACCTCCCTATCCTTCTGCATATCGCTGTTGACAACCTTTGGACGTCTCCGCTGAACTTTTTTGACAGTGATCAGCTGCAAAAGGACTTGATCCTGCTCGATTTTAGTAGATCCAGAGTAAAAACACTGAACGTTTTTTAATAGATCCCCTGGGGTCAATGTGTCTGCGTGACAGAAGTTTGCTTTTGTATGAGAATGATAACAAGCGACAGCCGGCATTTTTCCTCCTCCTGAGTGTCTCATTTTCTTAATCTCCTCACGTACATGATTACATTTCGATGGCTTGCGTTTCTTCCCCACCGCAGAAACCACCACAGGTTCATCAATGCCGTCAAAATTATTCATGTTTTTATTGTTTGTTGAAGTAGATAATGACGAAAGCCGGTACATTCAGGGTGCCACCATTATTGTTTACACTGCGTGGAATGCTCTGTGATTGGTTGAGGTGCGTGGAATGGTGCGCTGTGATTGGTTAAACAGATGTATCGCATTCTGTAGAGAAGGGAGACTGGCGTTTGTCGCTGTTTGGAAAGAAAGTGAGAAAACAGGACAGAATAACACGGCGGATATCGCGTTTTGCGGAAAATTGAATGTTGACTTTTCAATACCGACGAAATACAATACTGATTTCGGCGGGAACTAATTTTTTCAAAAGTGCCGTTTATCGCGTTTTGGAACCAAACTCTTCATATTTAGTTTTACATTGTACATTGTAATGCAAAACAACCTGTTCCATTAATTCATTGCTTTAAAATACATTTTGTAGTTTCTTTTCATTTAAAATTATTGAAGTAAGCTTGAAGGGCACCCGATTGTTTGTCTGAACACCTTGTTTCTCTTGTGCATTAAGAACACTTGTGTTAGGGCATGAATTAACAATAAATAGGTTATATATAGTATAAAATACCACGTGCTGTCCGCCCTCCCATGCCACCCTGGCATGACCTCTTGCCCCCCCTTTGCCCCCCCATGTAAAATGTTCTAGAACCGCCACTGCTCATATGTATTATGCTACACAAACATTATATTGCAGTTTTAGTGAAGCCAACTCCGTTTCTAATATGCAAAAAGACTGCAAAATGCGTCTGATTATTTTTTGTATTTTCGATCTTTCCAATCCAGACGAGAGATCTCTCTCCGTCTGTGTGCGAGGGGGCGGGGCAGTTTACACACACGCAGCAGCTACATGCAGCAACACACACACACACACACACACACACACACACACACACACACACACACACACACACACACACACACACACACACACCACACACACACACACACACACACACACACACACACACACACACAACACACACACACACACACACACACACACACACACACACACACACACACACACACACACACACACACACACACACCACACACACACACACACACACACACACACACACACACACACACACACACACACACACACACACACACACACACACACACACACACACACACACACACACACACACACACACACACACACACACACACACCACACACACACCATCACACACACGCCATCACACACTCACCATCACACACACAACACACACACCATCACACACACACACAGGAGGAGATGGCGGAAGAACGCGCTCCGAGGTGTGGTTAAAGTTTACCCGTCTCGATGTGGATATTGCTCGTTACCAAAGTGGCTAATAAGAGTTAGTATGTAAGGGCGGGTAACACGAAGACAATTTGTGTCTAAACATTTAGCAAAAGTGCTCCACATCCAGACGCCAGACGGAGGGAATGCACCGGGTTCGACTGTCTTTCTAGTAGCTCTGTAAGCCCCATCCACGAGGAACGTTTCCACGGTCAGGTATTATGTATGCTAGCAGCAACACACAGAGTTAACTCAGAGATGAGTGAGGAGAGAGGAGAGATGAGAGAGGGGATGAGAGAGGAGAGATGAGTGAGAGGAGAGAGGAGGAGAGATGAGTGAGGAGAGGATGAGAGAGGAGGGAGAAGAGAGAGGAGGGAGAGGAAATATGAGAGAGGAGGGAGAGGAAATATGAGAGAGGAGGGAGAGGAAAGACGAGAGAGGAGAGATGTGTTGAAGAAAGGAAGAAAATGGAAAAAAGTATTTTATTATATAAAGCTTAAATATGCTTAAAACTCTGAATGCCATAGTCATGTATCGTATAATTTAATGCTTTAGCAATATAAACAGGATGCATAACAAAAATCCTTAAAAACATAGGTCAATCAATCAATGTTTATTTATATAGCCCAATATCACAAATGTTACATTTGTCTCAGTGGTCTTCACAGTGTGTACAGAATATCAGTATGACAATACGACCCTCTGTCCTTAGACCCTCACATCGTACAAGGAAAAACTTCCAGAGAAAACCCACAGTTTAAAGGGGAACATGGGAGAAACCTCAGGGAGAGCAACAGAGGAGGGATCCCTCTCCCAGGACGGACAGACGTGCAATAGATGCCGTGTGTAAATTGAAAAGATAATACATTTGCAACATAGGTAGTCCAAATGTTTGGAAATGCATGTGTCTATAATAGGAAGATGAATCCACAAGGATATCCATCCAGGACCTATGATCCAGGATGGATCTCATAAAGACCTATAGTACGCACTTCCTCTTTCGAGGAGATTAACTTTCTATGCACTTCCCATTTCGAGGAGAACATCTGTTATACACCTCTGAACGCACCAGCTTGCACACAAAGCATGTGACAAACCACGGGAAAGAAGAGGATAAAGAAGACTGAAGAACATCGGAGAGCAGTTCCTCTTCGTACCCAGTTCGAACTCGAACTCTCCAGCTTGTTTAGCAAGGCACGGAAGACGATCGTATTACTTACTCGCATTGAGGCAAACATCTCGGATATAATATGTATCTGGGCAAAACACATTTTATTTTTTATTGTTGTTGTATGATGTTGATGTTATAACTTGTGAAACTTTAATAAAACTACCTGTTCACATTTGTGAGAGGAAACTAAAGTCCATGTAGCCCTTCTGATTATTGTTGGATAAGTGACAATTCAGACGGCAATGTAACCTGTTCCCACGTAGCTTGAGTCCTGAATCCAGTTTGATTCCAGTGTCCTGTTCCTTGGCTGAGGATCAATCCCTGACGGAGTCTTGCAGAGACACCAGAGAGAACAATAGGTAAGTCGCACCTAAGATAACTCTGTTGCTGGATTCTATGTCATATTGGAGGTCGCCACGATCGGTTGATCTTAAATACGGCAGCAGTGCTTTACGGGTATTGTAAGACATAAAAATCAATATTGAATTACGTAATTTAGCTTAAACACACAGTAAACTCAAAACTGTTTTATTCTAAAAACAGTTCCGATTAAGTTTATTTTGAAAAGCTGTATTGAAAGGCGTTGCCGTTGTCAACCGTGTCCACTTCCGGTTTTACGTTGACAACGATTACAGCCATTAAAATGCATTAAATAAAAAGTCATGAATGAGTATGAGGAGAAAAGGCGTGTGGAACACCTTCATACAATGAACAGACAACGTCTAAATCCTCTGTTATGCGCGATATCGGACATTGGAGAGAGAAGAGGGCAGACCACCTACGCCACAGCCGCCATTGAAAGGAGGAGCCCTGAATCAGATACAGACGGAGAAACAACGTGTTCTCGCTCTCTTTCCACCGGATCAACTTCGAGACAACAGCTGTTGGTCGGAAAACTGACATCTTGGTGCCAGGATAACAACCTCCATGTCAACGTCAGCAAAACAAAGGAGCTGATTGTGGATTACAGGAAGCAGCAGGGAGAGGGACACACCCCCATCGCCATCAATGGGACTACGGTGGAGAGAATCAGCAGCTTCAGGTTCCTTGGGGTCCACATCACTGAGGACCTGACATGGACTCTTCACACCAGGGACGTGCACAGACATTTGGAGGGGCTATTGCTCTAAACAGGAAAAAGGGCCTCCCCCCGAAAAAAAATATAAGACCAAAACGATTAATACATTAACTAATTTGAACAGTAATTCACATCATCATCTCATAACAAAATAAGCTAAAGCAACTACTTGCATTCGGTGACTTGATTTTTAAAATGAAAACCAGGGACATGTTTTGTTTTGCGGTCCATATCTCATTAAAATATCTAATGTTAGAAACTACTAAAGAAAAAATGGGGACAATCAATGTAGTTTGACCATTGCAGACATACTGACAAAATAGGGCTTCTATAATTACCTTAAATAAACTCACTAATTAATTAAACCAGTTCAATACGCATTATTCTTATCATTCTTTATGAGCGCAGTAATGTGTAAGGTATCTAATTATTTATTTAGTATTCCATAACTTAATAACAGAGATGGTCAAATTAAAGTAGAGACATGGCAGAAATCTTACAATGAAGC